CTCCCCACCTACACTCACCTTTACTGGCTCCATCCCCGCCTCTTTGACCTGTTTGTTTCCTCTCCACCTATCCTCTCCTCTATCCATCTTCTATCCGCCTCCCACTCTCTCCCTATTTATTTCAGAACCCCCTTCCCCTCCCCCTTTTCTGATGAAGGGTCTCGGCCCGAAACGTCAGCCTTTCTGCTCCTATGATGCTGCTTGGCCTGCTGTGTTCATCCAGCCCTGCACCTTGTTGTCTCGGATTCTCCAGCATCTGCAGTTCCTACTATCTCTGATCCTTACTTTTATGTTCAGCGCCTCTCATTCCATTAACCATTCTTGATTACATGCCATACCTGTAAACTAACATTTTGTGACTCATGCACTAGAATATCTAGAAACCTCTGCACCAGACAATTCCACAGTTGTTCTCCATTTAAGCAATATTCTGCCTTTATATTCTTCCTGCCAAAGTAAACAAAGGCACATTTTCTTACATTCTACTCCAACTGCCAGATTTTTGCCTACTCACTACACCTGTCTCTATCCATCTGCAACTCCCTTATATCTTCTTCACAATGAGCTTTTTCTACCTTTCCTGGTGTTATCTGTGAACTTAGCTATTATTCCTTCACTCCCCTCATCAGTGTCACATGGGAATTGTAAAATATTGAGGCCCAATGCACTGTTCTGAAGAAGAGTCTACCAGACTTAAAATGTTAACTCTACTTCTCTCTCCATAGATGCTTCCAAGTCTGCTGAATTTCTCCAGAATTCTCTGTGTTTTATTTGATATTTCTTTTTGTATTCTTTGTTTCACGTTGCGGATACAGTTATAGAGCCATACAGCAAGGAGACAGACCCTATGGTCCAAAGTGTCCATGCCAACCATGTTCCTAAAATAAACTCGTCCCATCTGCTTCATTTGGCCTTTCCTATTCATGTACCTGTCTAAATATCTCTTAAGTATTATAACTGTGCCTGCATCTACCACTTCCTCTGGCAGCTCGTTCCCATATGAACCACCCTTTGCGTGAAGGATCCTGTAGACTACTCCCCTGTAGATTTCTTTCTCCTCCTATTCTTCATCATTATCCAAACAGATTCTACATCCTGACTCCTGAACCAAGGTGAAGTCTAATTATTGCATAACTGCCATCCTTGCTTAACACTGCTACCCCTCCACCTTTACCTAGCTTCCTGTTCTTCTTGAATGATACTGACCCACCGCACACTCCTCCCAGTCTGCTTCCCAGCAACACTAACTCACTGCACACTCCTCCCAGTCTGCTTCCCAGCGACACT